GGGCTTGGGAGGCTGCTGGGGCTAGGGCTGGCAGGGCCCTGAGCTCAGAAGTCCCCGAAGTTCACTGTGTAGGTCTCAACCGTGCTGAAGGGGAACGTGGGACCCATGACTGGCTGCTCTTCCTCCTCCTCCTCCTCCTCCTCCTCCTCCGGCTCTAGCTCCATCACAAACTCAGGCTCCAGCTCTGTCCCAAACTCGGTCACCACCTCTGTGTAGGTCTCTGTCTCTGACTCCTCCCAACTGGCTGTGCTGACGGGTAGAAGGCCCCAGGGGTCCAGGGTAGTACCCAGGGTAGGGGAGGGGCTGGGGGGTAGGGTGGGGACAGGAGCCGGGCTTGCAGTGGTGTTGAGACGCCGCAGCCTCATTTGCTCCCGCAGCCGCAGCCGGTGCTGCAGGCGCCGTTGCTGCAGACGCCGCTGCTGGGGGCTCATAGGGCGTGATGGGTCGATGCGAAGGATGGGCCTATTCCCGTTCATGGCCAGGATCTCCCGGATGCGCTTCCAGTTGGACCGTGCTAGGATGAAGTTGCACTGGGTGGCCCCAATGTCATAGTCCACGTTGCAGGTCTTTGCACTTGGCGTGTAGCCCTCTGCGTGGGCTGTCACACGGTACTCGCCCGGGTTCAGGATACGCCAGTAGTCACCACCACTCGCTACGGAGGAGAACAGGCCCTGCTGCCCTCTGTCCCCAGTTTTCTTCATGCCCACCCTCCCGTGGGGTTCACGGTAACAAGGACCCACTGGGCAGGCTGTGGAGTGCCCACACAGATTTGGTCGGCTTATGTGTGGCTACTGGGTAAGGTGGGGCAAGATGTGTAGAGGATACCTGTCTTCACACCGTGGTTGATGCCACTCACAGAAATGGTGGCGTTGGCGATGGGAATGCCCTGCTCATCCGTCACCACCCCCTTGATGCCTCGATGTACCTGCAGAGAGGGGCTCTGTGGCAGTCCTTGCAGCGACCCCCAGCCCACCCCCGCCCCTGTGTGGAGGCCCTGGCCCCAGCCCTGCCTCTGCATGCAGTTGTGGCCCCACCCCACCTGCTCCATGAAGGTGAGCAGTGCCTCTTTGTTGTTCTCCCACTCGCCAGGCAGCTCGCTTTCATGTGGGAACTTGTCGCAGCCCAGGTAGATAGACAGCTCCAGACAGTTGGTGTGCAAGTAGCTGAAGTCATTGATGGCTGAGAAGGCACAGACAAGCAGGCCTGTCACCCTTGCCCACGAGCCCCTCCACCCCAACCCTCTCTGCCAACTCACTGCCGGATCGTGGGTTCCATTTGGCACCATTGACGATGCCCATGCCGCTGGTGTAGTCCTGAGCCTGGCAGCCTCCCCGGTAGGGTTCTGTCATGGTGAGGTGGGCCGAGGCAAAGGAGATGGCCAGCCAGCGGAAGATGGCATGGTCTGGGGTCTCCTGGGCCTCAGATGCCTCGTCCTCGTCCTCTCCCCGGGCAGCTGCCATGGCCGCAGCCAGAAGCTGCTCCTGGCTTGGCGTGCGTGCCATGTCATAGGGGTAGGACACCAGTCGCTCCCCACCGTTCAGATTCGCCCCCAGTACAAAAGGGTTCTTCTCCATCCAGGCAATGATGGCCCGAACCTCAGTAGATACCTGGGACACGGGATAAAGCCAGCCTGGAGCCTGGGACACCTGTCCCAGGCCTCCAGGGAGCCCCAGGTCCATGAGTACTGTCCTTCCCCATCTCCCAGTGCCTGAACTCTGCTGCCCCCAGCCTGACCCCAGTGGCCTGGCCAGGAACCCAGGGTTGGGGCTCACCGTGGCTTCCGGGGAGAGGTAGCGTTCAGGGATAGGCAGATTGTTGTTGGGCACCTGGTGGGGGACCCACTTCCTCTCCTCGGCTCCCCAGAGCACAGAGTTGAGATCTGGGAAGTCCTCGAAGATATCAAACCCCTCTTCAGTCCACAGACCCAGGGCCCAGTTCCCGAACTCAGAGCCCTGCAAGAAGCGGACAGGTAGGCTTGGCCAGCCCCATCTCTGCCCAAGCCAGCCCACGGCCCCAGCCAGCCTGCCTACCATTTGTGCTGCCACCTCATAGCCGTCGGGGTTGAGCGAGGGCACCAGGTGGATGCGCGTGTCCTGTACTAGACTGCGCACTCGGGGGTTGCCATCTCGGTACTCGCGACACAGGTACTGCATTAGCAGGAGCAGCAGCTCTCGGCCCAGCACCTCATTGCCATGGATTCCCGCAGTGTATCTGAACTCAGGTTCCCCTGTGAGGGCAGGAGCCAGAGGCACTCAGCCCAAGGCGGATGTCTGAGGAGCAACCCCAGCCACCTCTTTCACAGGTTGGGAACTGGAGGCGGTTGAGGCTTGTAGGGCCCAGCAAGAAGGTTGAGTTGACCCTATGAGGTGGTGCACTTGGTCAGAGCCCTTGACAACCCAGGCCCAGCTGCAGTGCCAGGGCCTCTAGCCAGTGGGGGAGGTGGGGAAGGCAGAGCCCAGGGTGCGCGGGGCAGGGTGTCAAACCCAGTGCATGTCAGGGGCACCAGGCCCAGCCCCAGGGTGTGTGCATGACAGGCCTCACCCAGCTCGTGCTCCCCAGGGTTGTCAGAGATCTCCATGGCGTATATCTTGAGCCCCCGGGAGCTCTTGCCCAGGCTGTACGTGCGTGTGATGGTGGGGCACTCCTCATTCACCACCTTCATCAGCTGGGCAGAGGGAGGTCTGGATCACAGCCCATTCCCACAGCCTGGGACCCCAACCCCTCCCAGGCAGCCCTACACAGCCTCCCACTGCCTCAGATAAGGGTCCTGACCTGGCGCATATCCTTGTAACTGTGGTGCCGGAAGTCCAGGTCATCAGTGGCTACCACCTCATTCTGGGTGTAGTAGCTGTAGACAGCTGCAGAGGTAGTGGGCAGACCCTGAACTGGCTTCTGCCTGCCCACCCCTTGGTACACCCCCCTGCCACCCTCTGAGCCCCTGCTGCCCACACTCACATGACACGGGGCAGCCTAGCACTTCCAGGCGCATGCACAGGCTGCCATTCCAGGTGAGTGGGTAGACACGGATGAAGCGAGCCACCACAGGCTCTGGAAGTTCACTCAGAACGGGTGTGTCTTTGTCCACATTCCCATGGAAGGTCTGGGCAGAGGCAGGCCTCAGAGCATTGCTACCAGTGCCTTGCCTCAACCCCTAGAGCCTGCCCTCAGCCCAGATGAGGGGAGCAGAGCTACAGACCAGGACGCCTACCATTTCCTCATAGCCATTGGTGTACATCATCCATGTCTGGCTGTCATTGCTGAAGCCCACAAAGAAGGTGGTCACGAAGTCATCACTGTGGGCAGAGAGTGGTCAGGACCACTGTAGGCAGCTAACCGCTCTCTCGGCCCCAGGAACTGAAGAGCAAGCAGGGCCAGTCTGTGCCCCTATATAGCTGTCGGCACCTGGACTGGAGGCTCTAACTGGCTGGACAAGAAGGGCCCCTGAAATGTCTCAAATGGGACCAGAGCTGCCACCCCACCACTGCCCACGAGCCCAGCCACATACTGTATGTTGGAATCCCGGCCCTGAGTGATGACGCCTGTGAACCGGGTGGTCCTTCTAGTGTCCACCTCAATCCACTGGGTCCTTGAGTCATCCTCAGCACACCACGCCCCATCATAGTAGTCGTCCTCATTGGCACCCGCCTGGTGGGGGAGGAGAGGCTGAGTGCGGGTGGAGGAGCCCACTGCCCACAGCTGGCCACTCACACCCACCTGCATGTTGAGCCGGCCACGCTGTGCCCCCAAGCCATGGCGCAACATGGAAGAGGCGCGGATCTGGTTGTCCTCAATGCGGTGTGACTCCATCCCGATGGGGGGGCACTCTGGGAACATGCACCCAAGGCTTAGAGCCCCGCAAACCCAGAGACAAGAGCCTAGAGCTCCTCACATCACAGGGCAGTCTAAGGGTAGTGGTCAATGTCCACCTCCAAATAACTCAGACCCTGCAGGTACTGCTTCCCAACTGGCCACCCCTCCTGGCCTCTACTGCCCACCTGTACTCAGGAAACACAGGGCTCACATGAAATTTCAGATAGGGCCATTCCCATGCCCTGCCAAACACAGAAGTAACCTGGGTAGGGGCCATTTGCACACTAGCCTTGCAGGGACTCCCACTATCCCCTAGCTGCTGGAGGCCCCAGAGAGCCATCACCTCTGAAGTGGGCCTGCCTGGGCCCAGGGCAGAAGTGCAGCCCACCAAGGCTTCCCACCAAGACTTTTCTTGGCTCTCTTCTGGGCCCCAACAATCTAAAAGCAAGAAAGGGTTCTAGAGGCCTGAACCCCATCAGGAAATCAGTATTCAGTCTTAGGTGTGGCCTTGGCCGTCATTTGTTCCAAAATCTTCACACCCACACCTGGGCCCCACTCACTGACTCTCTCTGTTGGAGGCCATTCCTCCTCTGGCTCCTTGCCCTTCTGGGGTCCTGGGGACAACAAAGAACAGAGGTATCCCTTAGGCCATTGGGATTGTAGTGCTGCCTGGCAGGGCCCAAGCCAAGACCAACGCCCTGCCCCAGCCACGCACCTTTGTGGTCCTTGCCCTTCTCCCCGGCCCACTTGTCTTCCGTCTCCCCCTTGGGGCTGCTGCTCTCCTTTTTGGGTTTCTCTGGAGGGTGCAGGCAAGAGACCAATTAGCCCGCCTGGGCTTTGGGGACAGGTGGGGGGCAGGCCTAGTAGGGATGATCTTGCCCCACTCACTCAGCTCCTCCTTCTCCTCATCCGTCTCCCACTCTGCATCAGGCTTCGGGGGTGGGGGTGGCCGGAAGTAATAGTCCACTATGGGGAGAAGGTTGGGGGCTGAGGCAGGAGGGGGCAGCCTCAGGCCAGGTGGGATCAGCCAGATGCTGTGTAAGTCACCAGTCTAATCCAGCCAGGAGGAAGGCCAGCCTAGGGTTAGGACCTTGGTCCAGCAAGGGAGGGTGTGCCCTGAGAAATGCAGGGGGACCTGAGGGTACAGGCCAAGAAGGGAGAGAATCTGATAAAGAAAGGGAGGAGATAGCCACTGGGCCCAGAGGGGAAGCAGAAGCTACTAGAGACAAAGTGTGGACTGTACTACATGGGAGATAAGCTGAGGGAGAGGCTGAGTCTCCAGGGAAGTTGCCAGAATGACCAGCCTCACTGAAGAAGGAAGCACACAAGGCTAGGAGCATGGTAGGCAGGGGGCCAGGCAAAGGCAGCGAGGGATGGCTGAATGGGTCGGCCCCTGGTCAGGTCCCTCAGACCCAGGATACTCACTGTCATCATAGTTGGGGATCACATAGCCATCCCCATAGTCAGGGGGCGGTGGAGGCAGTAGGGACTTCGGAGGTGGTTCTGGAGAGGTGGGTGAGGACATGGGTGAGGATGTGGGTGGATGGGCAAAGGGCACTGGCCTGCACCCTCTTCCTCCACCCCCATCTTACCGATCTTCTCCTCAGGGACCTCGGCCTTCTTCTTTGGGACTTCTGGCCAGACTCTCTCGGGCTTCCTTCTGCTGGATGGGGGCCTAGGCTGCCTCTGGCGCCGGATGTACTCAACTGAGGGGAGGTGGGCTGTGAGCGGGTGTAGCAGGGACATTCGAACACTTGGGCATGGGCCCTACTCACAGTCCTCGTAGTCCTCCCGCTCAATCTGGTCATTGTAGTCCAGTGTGGGTACCTCAGTCTCCTCTTCCAGCCCTGGGAAGAAAACGCTGGTGGCCGGCCATCTGCAACCCCACCCAGGCCCAACTCAGGAAACCTCACAGCCTGCCAGCCAGAGCACAGGTCACAGATCACCTCAAGCCAGGCAGAGGAGGTCGGAGGAGAACCACTCACCTGGCTGGGGCTCCTGTGGCTCCACATGGGTTTCCTCTCCTGGGCCCCCCTGGTTATTAGGGAGGGCTTCCACTGCAACATGAAACAGAAGCAAGTGGATGGGGGCCTGCCCTGACTGTCTTGAGAGCCTAAGGCCACTAGCTACTCAGGGGCCTCCATAAACCCTGCAGACACTCTCCCAAAGCCATGGTTCACTCCAGAAGGCTGAGGCTCCTCTGGCCTCAGCACCCTGCTGGCCCCCTCAGAGAACTGAGCTGCCTTCTGGGGAGCCCTGCCTCGTTGTCTGGAGGCCCTGCTGTAAGCTGCCCTGGCAGAGGCAGGCAGGAGGGGCTCCTGCAAGCTCGGAGCTCAGAAAGAGAGATTCTCACCCACAAGGCCACCAAGGCCTGCCACTACCTAGAAGAGACTACAGCTCTGAGGAAACCCTGATCAAATTGCCATGTTTATGACAAGAATGAGGCCCCAGAGCCCACCCTATCTATATGTAGCAGGGTTTTAGGGACCTGCTCTCATGCCTCTCTGTCCCCACCCCAGTGGAAGGTCAGAGCCCACAGCCCTGGAGCGGATTAGCACAAACCTCCCTCCTGGGGTGGCTCCTCAGGGACAAAGCTGTGGGGTGGGGACAGTGGCCTTTCCAGGGTTTCTGAAGGAGCTGAAGTGGAGGGTTTCTTCCCTGCCAGGGGCTTCTTGGTGGCCTTCGGTGGCTTCTCCTTGGGCTTCTTGGTAGCCTTGGGAGGCCTTTCCTTGGGCTTCTTGGTGGCCTTGGGTGGCTTCTCTTTGGGCTTCTTGGTAGCCTTGGGTGGCTTCTCCTTGGGCTTCTTGGATGGCCTGGGGGATCCCTCCTGGGGCTGCTTTGTGGCCTTGGGGACTTTGTCTTTCTTCCCTTTCTTCCCTTTGTCTTTGGCCTTTTCTGGGGGTGCTGTCCAAAATGTAGATTTAGGTCAGATGAAGAGCCCACTTAATAGCCCCCCTAAGGGTGCCCACAACCCAAACAGTGGGACCTTGGGCAATCCCTAGTGCAAATCAGGAGGCCATGAGGTTCAGCTGCTTGTCTGAGTAGCAGAACTAGGATTTGGGCCTGGCTTTATACCTGCAAGTAAGGGGCTATCGTCCCCCCACCTCCCACCCCCTCAAAAGACTGAGTGTGGTCCTCAGTGCCCCAATAGAGGCCCTCATGTCCCCATCTGCCCAAATCTCAACCAGCTGGGGTGGAGGCAGATGACAGTACAACAGCAGTTAAAAACAAGATGTTCCAGGACCAACAGATGACATAATGTTTACGTGGCTGGACTTCCACATAGTCAACCATGGTTCAAGTCCTGGACCCAGCAGCTTAAAACTCACAATGGGTGCATGTGTGTGGGTGTCTAAGATCCCAAGAGGAGGATGGAGGAGAAAGGATTGCTGTGTGGACATCCTCCCAGGGGGTGATTTCTCGCTTTCTGCCTGTCTCTGCAGCAGACGTGCCCTATTGCAAAAATCTCTCCTAAAAGATAAAAACAGGGACTCCTACATAGTTGACCATGGTTCAAGTCCCAGACTCAGTGGCTTAAAACACACTGGGCACCTGTGCGTGCATGCCCAAGATCCCAAAAGAAGAATGGAGAAGAAGGGATTGTGGTGTGACCACCTCTCTGGGGAGTGATTTCTTGCTTTCTGTCTGTCTGTCTGGCAAGCACATGTGCCCTATAGCAAAAAATGCCAGGGTCTTCTTGGTGGCCTTCGGTGGCTTCTCCTTGGGCTTCTTGGTAGCCTTGGGAGGCCTTTCCTTGGGCTTCTTGGTGGCCTTGGGTGGCTTCTCTTTGGGCTTCTTGGTAGCCTTGGGTGGCTTCTCCTTGGGCTTCTTGGATGGCCTGGGGGATCCCTCCTGGGGCTGCTTTGTGGCCTTGGGGACTTTGTCTTTCTTCCCTTTCTTCCCTTTGTCTTTGGCCTTTTCTGGGGGTGCTGTCCAAAATGTAGATTTAGGTCAGATGAAGAGCCCACTTAATAGCCCCCCTAAGGGTGCCCACAACCCAAACAGTGGGACCTTGGGCAATCCCTAGTGCAAATCAGGAGGCCATGAGGTTCAGCTGCTTGTCTGAGTAGCAGAACTAGGATTTGGGCCTGGCTTTATACCTGCAAGTAAGGGGCTATCGTCCCCCCACCTCCCACCCCCTCAAAAGACTGAGTGTGGTCCTCAGTGCCCCAATAGAGGCCCTCATGTCCCCATCTGCCCAAATCTCAACCAGCTGGGGTGGAGGCAGATGACAGTACAACAGCAGTTAAAAACAAGATGTTCCAGGACCAACAGATGACATAATGTTTACGTGGCTGGACTTCCACATAGTCAACCATGGTTCAAGTCCTGGACCCAGCAGCTTAAAACTCACAATGGGTGCATGTGTGTGGGTGTCTAAGATCCCAAGAGGAGGATGGAGGAGAAAGGATTGCTGTGTGGACATCCTCCCAGGGGGTGATTTCTCGCTTTCTGCCTGTCTCTGCAGCAGACGTGCCCTATTGCAAAAATCTCTCCTAAAAGATAAAAACAGGGACTCCTACATAGTTGACCATGGTTCAAGTCCCAGACTCAGTGGCTTAAAACACACTGGGCACCTGTGCGTGCATGCCCAAGATCCCAAAAGAAGAATGGAGAAGAAGGGATTGTGGTGTGACCACCTCTCTGGGGAGTGATTTCTTGCTTTCTGTCTGTCTGTCTGGCAAGCACATGTGCCCTATAGCAAAAAATCTCTCCAAATAAAAAATGAGATGCTCTATGAGACAGTCCCACATGGACAGGTTCTCTGTTCAAGTCTAAAGATCTCCTTGAGCATACCAGGCACACATATACCCATGACCTGGAACTGGCTGAGGCTAGGTAGGGGTAGCTCTCAGCCTGAAGACCCTGTAGGGGTGCTGTTTCTCTGTCTCTCTTGCTTATAAAAGAAAAAAATGAAAAAATATTAAAAAAATAAGCCTTGGGGGCTGGCAGGTGGTGCAGTGGTTGGGGCAGCTGAACTCCCACATGGCCAACCACATTTCAAGTCCTAGACCTGGCAGCTTGCTTTCTCACTTACCCTCTCTGGCATTCTCTCACTCTGTCCCTCTCTGGTCAAATTAAAAAATAAGTACAAGTAAATAAATAAATAATTAAATAATTCTTTTACAAAAAAAAAAAAAAAAAAAAAAAAAAAAAAAAAAAAAAAAAAAAAAAACAAGCCTCACAAGTCCCTTCACAATCAAATCCTTCTCTAGATGTCCACTATTAAGTGCTGGGCACAGACGGGTCAGAGAGGTGACAGCCATCCAGGCCCAGAGGAGTCATCCCTGCCAATTGCCATTCAAAATAGGGGCCCTCACTGAGCATCCCTGCTGGGCCAAAGAAGGCCTTCAAGAACAGGACACACGGGTTTTGGATCCCAAATAGGAGAAAGGGATGCCCTCTTGAGAAGTAGGGGTCTGATTGGGACCAGTAGGGACTCTGGGGGATTAAATGACAGACAGGACAGAAGGGATGGCAGGGAGCTGAGGCTGCTCCCTCATCTCAGGAGCAGGTGTGGATTGCCCTATGGAAATCTTCCTAAGCAGGTACTGCAGATGCTGTTGAGCATTTATAAGAGGTGGAGGGAGTTTGACTTAAACATACAAAATGTTAGGAATGCAGATAGCCAGGAGCAGCAGGGCACAGGACAGCAAGAATGGAATGAGAGCCAAAGGCAGCCAGGAAATTTTCGGAGCTGGACTGTGGAGGCTGCCTCTGGCTTCAGGGACAGTGTGCCCAAGACTCCAGGGAGCCAGATCACAAGACCCTTTGCCCCCCTCCAGAGCACCCCAGTGAACAAGAGATATATTGACAGCTGATTGTGTTAAGAGACCCGAACTCTTTGGCGATGTGTCACCTGACATCTCACTTCTGGTGACAACTCTGGGCTGCCTGTTGCACCCAAAGCTTAGTGGGGAGGGGTCTTCTCCTGCAAGTCAGAAGGCCAGGGAAGGACAGAGGGAAGGCATGCCCCAGGCTGTGTGGCCCTCAGAGTGGCAGGGCAGGAAGGGACAGGAACAGAGCCCTGGAGTTCAGTCTGGTCCCTCCGGATACCTGGGGGTCTGTCTGGCGGATAGTGGAGAACAAGGGGAGCTGCAGCCCCGGAAACACTGGTGCGGGCAAAGCTAGAGTACCCACACGTCATTCGCCAGACACGCAGGCCCTCTCAGTGGCCAGAACCCAAGCTGCACCTTCAGCCCCAAGGAGGTCCCCGAGCCATTCCCGCTGGGCTCTCACCTTCTACCACTGGCCCGGGCCGCGCCCCCTGCTTGCCCCCAGACTGGGCTTTGCGGCCGCGTGGGGTGGGCTCAGGAGGCGGCGGGGCTTCCACGTCGTCCTCCCGAGGGTCCAGCTCGGACAGGAAGCCCTCGAGGAACTCCTCGATCTCGTCGTCGGTCAGCACCGTCTGTGCGCGTCCGGCAGGGCACAGTGCCAGCAGCGCCAGCAGGCAGCCGAGCAGGGGCGCCATGGGGGTGGGGCGAGGGGGGGCAGGGGCGCGAGGGGCGATGGGGCTGAGGAGGGGCGTGGTGGGCAGGAGAGCAGGGAGAACGAGAAAAGCGGTGAGAGGGACGGAGTGGGCGAGGGGATCAGCCGAGGGCGCGAGGACTCCGGGCTCGGGGCTCTACGAGGTGCTGGCGGCGCCCTCACACCGCCTTCTCTCCAAAGTGGAGCGGCTGGCAGCCCGGGGGCGGGGGTGCCGGGGCTGCAGGAGCCGGCTCCCCACCCCCGTTGGGGGGGAGGAGGAGGAGCCGCGCAGAACGAGGGGCTGGGGTGGCCACGCTGAGCACTTCCCGAAGAGTGAACTGCAGGCGGTGTCAGCTGGAAGCCTGCTCTAGCACAGGGGTCCTGGGAAGCAGGGGGACCTGGGAGGGTGTGCGGGAGATAGATGGAGGGGGTGTGGGACTAAGGGGTATACGCCAAGCGGGGAGCTCTGGGAGTCCTGATGGGAGACTGTCCCCAACTCAGGGGATCTCAGAAGTACTGTGCAGGCACAGGTCCACCCGTCTCTCTGGTGTAGTGGCCAGTGGGCTTTCTAGTTGCCACACACCCTGTGTCAGCCTTATTCGGTCAGCCAACAGCTGTCTCAGGTGGATGGGACTCAGAAGGGCCAGCACTGTGGGGACTTTCTGGCTGGGAGGCTGGTGCAGAACTGCCTGCAGAGGAGCCAACCACTCTTCCCGAATGGGGTCCTTGTGAGGGCATGCCCTCACCCCCAGGGGCCTACAGAGAGCCATTTCTTTCCTTTTCCTAATCAGGACCCAATGGAAAACTGTTCACAATAGCTCTAGATACCAACAGGCCCAGAGAGAACATAGATGGGGTCAGGGGGCCCCAGGATTGATCCATGACATACATCACTGTGTCAGGTCAGAGGACCCCAGGACCCCTAGTGCCAGCGTCAGGGTTCACGTGAGTGCTGGTGTTTACCATAATGTTTCTTGAAGGGTAGTTATTGGCTGGCCCCAAATGGCCATCACAGCTAAGGCCAGAGCTCCCAGAACAGCCTCCCTTGAAAAGGAAGAAACGACTGAAAGTGCACACACTGCGTGTGGTGTTCAGCAGTCAGCCCTTCTGCTGCCTGGTAAAGCAGCACAGCAGGGAACCCTGGAGCCCAGGGATGATCAGCAGACTTGAGTCTAGATCTCAGGTCAAAGGCAAAGGGGAAAGACAGGTCAGGGAGCACCTGGGCCCTGGCCTACCCAGACCAGCCTGAGCAGGCACTGCAGGGTGGGGTGGAGGCTGCTGGGGACAGGAGGCCTCTCTGACCTCCCCTCTGGTGTTTCTGAGGCCCTGCCTTTGCTTTCTAATGGTTGTGTCCAGAAGTAGTCCCTATGGCTGTCTGGCCCTGTATGTGGCCTCAGTGCCACCCTCTGTGTGTCCCCACCCCCGCCGCACTGTGCCCGGTA